GCAAATCGATGACCAACAGGACAGCGCTGTAGTACAGTGCTACAAAGGCACAGTGCTACAAATTAATTTATATGTCATTGTGGTTTAGAAATTTTACACTGTGTGATATTATATTAAAGCTCGTTGACTCTTCCTATTGTTTCCTAATTAAATTTCAAAAAATGTTTTCAAATGTTGTATTGCATAAAGTAAAAAAGAAAAAAAAAGCAAAGATATAAAAGGAACAATGGCAAGATGGAGGAAATATGAGACTTTGAGAATAAAAGACAGAAACAGTTTAGAAACAATGATATCCCAGGATGGCAAATTGGGAAATCTATGAAGTAATCCTAGTTAACCCAAATCCCTTGGCTTCTATTTACTATAGGTTTGAGAACTGATTTTTTTAAAGTCATGTTCTCTAGAAGCTGCTCATTCAGGAAGAAATAAATCATAAGCAGGAATCTGCTATATATTTTTATGAAAAATTTTATACTTTGGATCAAAGGGACAAATGAATTTGCTCTGCTACTACTTCTTTCTTCTTTTTGCCTTAAATAGGTTTGTGATATATGGATTTGAAAAAAATACCTTGTGACCTTCATATGAGAAGCCTGAGGGAAAAATACAAGGGAAATCTGATCATGCCACTCAGATATTGCTCTTCTGCTGACTGTATGCCAGTACGCTTCTAGTACTGACTCTCTATGATGAGAAAAATATATCGATTTTTTTCAGTAAATGTTCACAAGGCTCTGTTTCATATACCTGAAAACCTTTATAAATTCTAACAGCAATATTAAAATAAACAATGATGACAAAAATGATTGAAAGAATTAATGTAAAGGTTTCATTGAAAGGTCTAGGACAATGGTACAAAACAGATCTGATTCTGAAAGTAGAACAAACCTGTTGGCAGGATGTTAGTATTAAATAGTCAAACAGGACTTTCAGATGTAAATAGAATATGGGCCTAAGTAGCTATTTTCAAGTGTAGGTGAAGACTAGATAGCATTCATGGGGTAGTGGGAGTTGAGTTTTGACATCAGTTAAAATTGCTTCGGATTATAATGCAAAGAACCATGGAGAACTTCTATATTCAACAGTTACAGAAAAGAAGATTGGAAAGAACAGTAAAAGAATATGAAAAATATGGAAAGAGTTGCAGAGTAGTAGATTTCCCAATAGAAGACTTCAAAGTTTTTTTTCAAAGTATCTTTAACAAATTTGTCTTTTCACATGATATCTTTCCCTGACAATATAAATCTGTAACCCAGCAGGTTTTTTTTGTCCTTGAGATTTATAATGTGACTGAAATTGTTCATTTTACTATTATTTTAATTTAATTTACTCTCTAAGATCATAAAAATTGTATATTTTTTTCTCTTTTTCAACTTCAAATTCTATACACATATAACCAAATAAAATGACAGATAATCAAATAGAAAATTGTGGTAAAACAAGCATTTTATAAAAGAAGATATTGAGAAGGTTAAGGCAAATTGAAGATATTCAACATCAACATAGTCATAGAAGTTCAAATTAAAACTATATAACATTACTATTACAAACTGATCAGACAGTCTGTGGATGAAGATATAGAGACAAAGAAACTTCCACATTGCAGCAAAGTATAAACCTACTGAAGGAAAATATAACAAATAGATTTAATCCTACTGGAAGAAGTATGTGACAAATTGATATAATCACTTTGAAAACTTGTCATTAAGATCAAACATGACCATATCATATTCAAAGGACTGCATTTCTAGATATAGGGATATATGAAATAAATTATATAAATATTTTACATAATTAAAATGTATTAGTTGCATTTATTTCAATAGCCCTGAAACAGAAGTAAAGCCTATGTATCCATGTCAACTAGAATTGAAAGACAAAATGGTGTACCTTATACAATATAATAACATAATGAGTGAAAAAAACAAAACTTGTTTCATACAACAAGTATTAATCTCACAAAAGTAACAGTGATAAAAAATAATTGAACACTAAATAATATGCATTAATTCATAAAATTCAAAAATGGTTAATCATAACCAATGTAGTTAGAAGAGAGTAATATTTGGATGAAAGCATAACTGAGAATTCTGAAACTATGATACAGAAATTTCTACAAATTAATGAAAATTATGAGTGCTCAAAACCAATTAGTCAAATAGATCATCTAAGGGAGCTACGTAAGTATATATTTTAAAGAATGCTTATTGAATTTATTTGAGAATAGGAGGAAACACACAGCAAGAAGATAAATGTTAGAAGAGGTTTGATAAAAGATAACTCTAAACACACTATGTCACCATTTTATATCCATTATATCCATCACTTCCATGATGTCACATTTAAATGAAATTGCCCAATTCTACCTTCTCTATTTGAGTAAAATCTCCAAAACAGTTTCATTTGGTAGTAATAACTATATATTTTAAGTTAAAGAGGACTTGCACTCAAAATAGTTTTAAGATCTAAAGTAAATAGGATTCGGAATTACATAAATAGCACACAGGTAAACATTTTCCTTTTATTTTTAAATTTTTGCTGCTATGATTTTTGGGGGCTTTATGTTTTTAATTTGTTTAGGGGCCACCCCTGTGGTGCTTAGAACAATAGTCTTAGCTCTGTGCTTTTAAGTACTCAGGGAAGACCAGGTGGTGCTGGTGATCAAATCAGGTAGAACACATATATTATGGCAAATGCCTTAACTCCAATACTTTTTTCCCTTTTCTAATAGGCAAAAAATAGCCATTTTTACCACCTTATTTAACTTCTCATCTCTTTACACCGAAAGGGGAGTGAAGCATTGCTTAACAGTGAAATGGGAGGGATTAAATAGATGCTTCATACTTTCCATTTTCACACCTAATTTATAAAGTGGGGCCTGTTTTCCTCCTTGAACATGATTTAAAACAGACTCAAAAAAGTCATATAGCGTTTCAGAGCTCATACAAAAGTTAAATGATCTAGTCAAGATTTGGACCTTAGACTGTGTAATGCCAAAACCCATGGTCTTTCTTTGCTTGTCCTATGACTTATGTTTATAATGATTCATGAGGCAAGCATGCATATCAAAGGAATTAAGGGCTGATGATTACTTGGACAGCATTTTAAAATATAATTTTTAGTGGTCTTCCTTTATTTTTGTGCTTAATATTAAATATCTAAATTAAGAAGACATTATCTTTATATCTTCTGTAATGTACCACTTTTACAGTCATCCATCAAACCAGTTGAAAGTGATGGTTGGAAACTCCACGAGACTGCTGTTAACGGTACTAAATTTCTTTTCATTAGTTCCATTCATTAGCTTCAATAACTGAATGTATTAACTAGACCTCGCACATATATTAATCCCATAACTTATTAATGTTCAGAATAAAATACCATTGTCACTTTTTTAAATACATGACTTGACTATTGAATGAAATAGAACTCTTATTTAAGAATTTTAAGCATACATTTTGACTATTGAATGTCACTCCCCTGATTCCATTTATCAGGTAAAAAAAATCCAAACTTAATTTTTTTAATAAACACACATGTAAAGAGTAATTATTGAAAATAATATAAAATTTAGCATTATTCAGAGTAAAAGCCTAACCTTTCCTATGAAATTTTATAATTTCTCAAGATTCTTAGCAATAAATTACTTCCCTAAGTTAAACTTAAATATTAATCTAATAAATTTTATTTCTGCTTCTCTATCTTCAGGCATTTAAGATCAAAAGATCAATTAAATATATTGAAAATAAATTGCAGTATGGCGAAATACAAAGGTTAAATTTCAGTCTGAGATTTCCAAGCCTGCTCGGATCAGGACTGGGCCTCCTGCACCCAGATTCCCCATCTTCCATTAGCTAGACAGTTACACCCAGCAACTGCCCCTGGCACCATGTAATTCGCATTAAGGGCCAAGATCCAGAGACTATAAAACCAAGCTCCTGGAAGAGAATAATGCAGAGTCTCCTGCCCCCACGCCTGGCTGTCCTCAATGGGGCCCCTTGGAGGGGTGAGGGTTGAGTTTTCCTCCCCGCCCTGAGCAGTGCCCCAGCAGCTGAAGATCTCCAAAAGCTAGTCACAGTCATGCTTAATACCACTCTCCACACACTCGGACAAGCCTCATGCACGAAGGAACTAGCAGAGGAACCAAGGTATGTAGGATCCGGGGTTGAGATCTCCAATCCTGCTCAGATCAGGACTGGACCTTCTCCACACAGATGCCCCATCTTCTAGTAGCTAGGCCGTTACACCCACCAATTGTCCCAGCACTATGTAATCCCATCAATGGTCAAGATCCAGAGACTACAAAACCAAGCTCCAGAAGCACAAGTATGCAAATGTGGCCACGTGACCTCTTATTCTCTAGTTCTCACTCTTGGAGAACCTGGCACACTACGAGAGTGTCCTGCCTGCACGGCAGAGTTGGCAAGCTCCCCGTGGCATATTTGACATGCAAAAACCCAGTAACAATGATGGGTCTCATTCCGCTGACCTGAAAGAGCCTCCAATGTAGCACTTGTCAAAATCTCAGGGATAGGATGAATGGAGATGTTACTGGCGCCTGCTCGAGGAAATCAATGAACAACAGAATGACAGTGATACAGTGACAGCAAAATATAAAGGTTGAATTCCTCACAGTCCTGGCAGGTAGTTACTAATCTCTGTATTCCATCTGGTTCCTGCTGACTGAGAAGTTCTGTACCAATGAAAACACCTACAGGAAATTCACCTGTGCTGCTATTTAGAGGTAAACACTGGGGCAGCAGATGCTTGCTACTAAGGACATGAGACAACCAGAGTGAGAAAAGATTTAAACACTGGTTTCTAAAACAAAATGAAGCAACAGAAAAATAGCCTTTTAAATGTAAGTTTAACTTTTAGATTTCACTCCTTAAATTTCTTTTCATAGACACACTAAAAGGCTCTCTCATTAGTACAATAATAACAGTCCTTTGCAAAATGATGATTGGACCATGGTACAAAGAAACAAAAGTTGTGCCTACCTTTGCTTGTCCAGCCTTTGTAATGGCAGGCATATTAAACAGCTGACCAGTATAATACTGAACCCCACTTAACAGGATCACTGCGATTGACTCTCCTTCCTTCTCAATAACTTCAAGGATATCCTCTAGTCTCAAGATTTCTTCCCCCTAATGGTAGATTAAGCACAAGTTATATCATACCCACAGCATTGTTCTTATCACTTCACATTTGCTGGTGTAAAATTCATCATGTGTTTCTCTTTCTCACATAAAAGAATCAGAGACATTTTTTAAATTTAATAAACTTCAAGTATCTGTCAAGATAACAACAATTGAGCATGTTTTTGCTATTAGGAAGTGATAAATTAGTAAACCATATTTTATAAAATGAAATCTTTGCAAAACACTACTCATGTGACTTAATTCTTAAGTTTTCAACTAATCTTCATTATTTTCATAGCTATAAATAGTTTCATTCTTACTTTATCTAATAAAATCTTGAAAACTCAAAAAAATAATGGAAAGAGAAATGATTTGGAAATGTGTGTGTTACTTACCAATCTCATTTTTATTAAAAAAAAGAAACACAAGCTTCTACATCATTCATCTGAGTACAACTTAATGAACATCTATTAACTCACTAACTGGAAAGTACAATCTCCTCCACAGGAATCTAAAGATTCAGATATAAACATAAACATAAGGAGAAAGATTATTTTTGAAAAGCCACACAACGTTGCTATTTTCCTACAGATTTTTTACAGAAGACTAAATATTGATAATTTAATGTAAAATTATAAATGAATTAATATAAATGTGACCTTTTATGCAGCTTGATTAAAAAGAAATCAGCTAAATAGTGTCATCTTAGAGCATAAATAATTTTATACATTCATTATTTTAATAATCTACTCCAGAGATAAACCTGACATTAATTTGAGGACAAAGCATCATTAAATGCATCAATATTTGGGGGAAAGGTCATTAAAGTACTTCTATTTTTCCTGTTTAAAGAATAGATTCCACACACTGAGGGTAGTGGGGTGAAAAGGAAACAGGGTCACTGCATGCAAGGAGTGGTCTGGCAGTACAGACATGATGCTTCAGAAATTGGTGCATACACACACACACACACACACACACAAACACACACACAGACACTATGAAGGATTTCAGTACTCTTTGAGGAATTATTTTCAGCTAATCCCAGACCACTAGCAACTCTGTGTTTGGAGGATACTCCTGATAGTGCTGAGGTGACATTGGGTTCAGGGGACCAAACACAGGTCTTCTGTACACAAAGTATGTGTTTCACTCTTTTTTTTCTGTTTTTTGGTTCACACCTGGCAGTGCACAGGGGTTACACCTGACTCGGCACTGAGGAGTTACTCCTGGCGGTACTCAGGGGACCGTATGGGATGCTGGGAATTTTACCTGGGTCGGCCGTGTGCAAGGCAAACGCCGTACCCCCTGTCTATTTCTCCAGCCCCTGTGTTCCACTCTTTGAGCTATCATTACAGCCCAGGCATCATCAGTCTGAAGATAACTTGTAATATTGACAATGTGACAATCTGAAACTATTCTTTGAAGAATCAAATATGACTTGTGAATTGAATTTCAATTAAAAGCAATGTATAATGTAACATACAGTGTATTTCTTCAAAGATTTCATACTAAACTAATATATGTAGAAATATATATTTTTATATATATTATATATATATTTCTCAGTGAAAAGATATGATTATCTTTCTCATTGACTTGCTGTAAACTATTTATGTTGTTTTTTTATTGACTTGCTCTAAACTATTTACTTGCTTTAAAATATTTATGAAAGTGCTCTCAAGTCTGTGAATAACTCTTTTAACTCCGTAACACATGTTTCTTGATAGTAAAACTCATGATTTATCAGTTGTCATATTTATTTTGGCTGAAAATTAGCAATTTTTGACATATGAAATAAAAATCCACACACGGATGTGAAAAATTTGTCTTCTGTTAATTTATGTTGAAAATTATAAATGAATAGAGTAGACTTACATGTTTTTAAAGTAATCTCAGTTAAATGATAATTGAGCAATTTTTCTGACAGCCTGGGGCAACCTATGTGAGGCAAAAATTTATTCCCTGTGCATCTCTTGGTGTCAAATTACAGATCAAGAAGGGCTTATATGTCAAAGACTGGAAAACTTTGACTTATATCTCTATAAATGTATAGGGCATAGTATTTTAGATCTTGAACATATGGTCAATCCTGACTAGGTGTTTTAATGGGTCTGGAATTCTCTGGGGCATAGCATGCTGGCTGTAAAATCCAAGATTTTTTCCATATCACTACATCTCTCTCTACATCTCAGTTCAAACACAAGACAAGTATTTGATACTTAGTTTAGGTAAATTAAAGATAGAAATCATTCAATTTCAACAATTGTCACTATTTTAATTTGATCGAATGAAACCCACAGGGATATATTTGAAATTAAAACAAAAGATTTATACATTTTGCCATCTCTTCCCCTTCATTGAAGAATAATGCAAACTCAATTGAAAAATAGTTTGCTTTTCTTCTAATGAGCCCTTGAAAATTTAAACTGAGCACATAGGCAAAATGTTCTAACAGTAATAGAATTATAGATCTTTTAAAAAATTAAAGACTAGATGCATGTACTAAATTAATATTTATTTTTCTTTATCATATACCTCTCTTGGTTTTATAAGTCGCATACTCTTCTCTATTTGCAGCCCATGAAGTTGAAGCTGTGATTCAATTGCATACTGGAAAAGAAAGATTACTTATCAAATCATGTCTAAGGCATACATATACATTGAAATAACTCTTAAAAGAGATCAATGATAAAATAATTTATATTAGATAAAACTCAAGGTATACAACATTGAAAAATATAAAACATGATTTACATTTAGGAATCTATATATTCTTTGAAACACTATAAATATTAGCAATAGATGAAGATGTGGACAAGAGGTGTTTTTAAAGTCAGATATAAAATTACCTAATTTAAGGAAAACTAAAATTTACAAAATTGCCAAAGTAATCACCTACTCAGTCAGACTATAAAATATAGAGCTGGAGTCAGAGAGGTAGCTCAAAACATTGATCAAATGATTTGCTTGGAAGTATCTTAGCATCACATCATTTCCCAAGCATAGAGCCAGAAGTAACCTCAAACGTCACTGTCACTGTCACTGTCCTTCCATTGTTCATTGATTTGCTCAAGCAGATCCAGTAACATCTCCATTGTGAGACTTGTTTTTACTGTGTTTGGCATATTGAACACTTTACGGGTAGCTTGCCAGGCTTTACAAAAGTCACTAGATGTGGTAAAAAATAAACAAGTAAAGAAGTAAGGTGTGTGTATGTGTGTGTGTGTGTGTGTGTGTGTGTGTATGTATGTATGTATGTAACTGGTCTACTAATAATAATCTACTCAAAGAAAAGGGCATAAAAGAAGTAAAAATAAATAGAAATTAGCAATTATTGGACCTATAACTTTTTTTAAGATATTGAGTTTTGATGCCTTTTAGTAAGGGAATGATCGCTAATTTGAACATAATTAAATGTTTAAAATTATTAGACATATATAGGAAGTCTTAACTTCAATGACATAATAACAAAAATTATAACTCTATAATAATAAAATTTAAATATTCTTATCTATGTATGTCTATACTAGTACAATATCTTATCAACTAATTAAACAATATAGTAGCTTGGTTTTTCAGGGAACTCATTTTTTCTCGATTTGCTCGAGCGGGCCCAGTAACGTCTCCATTGGAGCCTTTGTTGTTACTGTGTTTGGCATATCGAATACGTGACGGGGAGCTTGCCAGGCTCTGCCATGCGGGCGAGATACTCTCAGTAGATTGCCGGGCTCTCTGAGAGGGGTGGAGGAATCGAACTCGGGTCGGCCATGTTGGCTGCGTGCAAGGCAAATGCCCTACCGCTGTGCTATAGCTCCAGCCCTCGGTCGAAGAGGACGGCCTTCCCCGAATAGAGACGGACCGGTATTCGGTCAAGGGTATACGAATACCTCCAAACATTTTTTTCTATTTTTGATAAATATATTTAATAGTAAAATACCAATATTCCAACACAGGTTAATGAAACAGAATTGAGAGTGCAGAAATATAACAAAGAAGCCAACAGCAATCAATAAAAAGAAGTTCTATTCAATAAATGTTATAGACAAACAAGGACTCATGTGTAAAAGAATCTTTATTACTTCAAGAAACATAAAATAATAATAATAAAAGTTGATTAAAGTCTTGGATATATGACCTGAGATTATAAAATGCATAAGAGAAGAGAAAATACAGGGAATAAATATTTCAACATCATTGGAATTTTTTAAGTTAAGGTCTTGGGACTACACCCTCAATGTCAGGGGATATTCCTGTGTTTGTTTGTGCTCAGAGATCACTCCTGGGAGTGCTTACAAGAGCATACTGGTGCCAGGGTTTGGCCATGTACAAAAGAGTATCTCAACACCTGTGCTATCTCTACAGTCCATTGTAGCATTCTTAGGGATAATTTAGAAATTCAATTCCACTAACAGTAGAAACAAATGGTAAAAATAAGCAGTAAGGACACATCAAAATAAAACTTTTACACAGTGGGCTGGAGCGATAGCACAGCGGGTAGGGCGTTCGCCTTACACGCGGCCAACATGGCTGACCCGAGTTCGATTCCTCCGCCCCTCTCGGAGAGCCCGGCAAGCTACCGAGAGTATTCGATATGCCAGACACAGTAACAACAAAGTCTCCAATGGAGACGTTACTGGGCCCGCTCAAGCAAATCGACGATCAACGGGAGGGCCTTTACTTTACTTTACACAGTGAGCATGAGACATATCAAAACAAAACGACAAGGTACTGAATAGAAAAATATATTTACATCTCATACATTTTGCTCTTGGGCTGGAGTGATAGCACAGTGGTAGGGCATTTCCCTTGCATGCAGCCAGCCTGGCAGAGCCAGGTTCGATTCCTCTGGCTCTCTCGGAGTGGCAAGTTACTGAGAGTATCTCGCCTGCATGGCAAAGCCTGGCAAGCTACCTGTGACGTATTCAATATGCCAAACATAGTAACAACAAGTCTCAAAAAAAATGGAGATGTTACTGGGCCTGCTCGAGCAAATAGATGAATAAGGGAGGACCCTCCCGTGACATTTTGCTCTGTAAAACTTTACAATAAAATAAATGGTTTGATTGACAAATGGGCTGAGTAACTAAATAGATACTTCTCCAAAGAAGACATATAGATGACTAAGTGTTCATCTGTTTTTATGAGGGAGATGCAAAAGAAAGCAAAAATGAAAGCAATAATGAGATATTACTTCATAGCTTTAAAAATAGCTATTATCCAAATGATAAGAAAAAAAGGTTGGAGAGGATCTGAAGTGAAAGGGAAATGCCATTGGTGGGAATGTTAATTTTTGCAGTCACAACAGAAAACAATAAGGTGACACTCAATATCTTTTTCCTTTTGTTTTGGGGGTCACAACCTGTGGTGTTAAGGGCTTAGTACTACCTCTGGGGTCAGAGATTACTCATTTTAGGGCACTGAACCCATATGTGGTACCAGGATCAAACCTAGGCATATCATATGCAAGGCAATCACTCTACCTATTGTACTATTGCTCTGGTCTGAGATTCACAATTTTTGAAAATAGATATAATGATACAATTCTATTATCTCACTTTTGGATATTTTCCTGGAAAATACAAAAAAATAATTCAAAGAGATGTTTGCACTTTCATGATAAACTTTCAGATACAATGAATAACTGCCTATTGATAGAAACTATAATAGGAATGTTTATTTAATAATATATGTGTGTATCTATGAACATATATACTAGAATGCTATACAATGATACGGAACACGTGAAACAATGCCATTTGCAACAACAATGATGATGTAAAAGGTACTATGCTAACTGACAGCTAGAAAAAGAGACACAAACTTCATATTTTTAATTGTACATTAGAAGGAGAAAAATAAGAATTAAGTGAAATAATAATAAATGGATGGGCTCTGGAGAACAATTTATGATTATCAGAAGGGAAGGGGAAAGATGGAGGAAGTGTGAAAGGAGTAACATTAATTAGAATAAAGAATACAGGTTGATTTTTAAATATGCATAACTAAAGCATAGTTTGCAACATGTTTATACTTCAGTAAGACTTTTAAGCACCAAATAGTTACACTAGCACGATATTGTAACAAATGTATCTTAAAAAGCCTTTATGTTCCTATTATTTGGAGCTAAAGAGTTAAGTATTGGGGTGGGTATTGATCTGATTTCATAAAATAACAAAGCGGCAAGAATTAATAAAACATTTATTACTGCACTTGATTAGACCAACAATTTGCTCATGTCTTTAAAAAGATTTTAAATCAATGTTCCTATTCAATCCTTTTCTTTCTTAACACACATTTTATTTGAACAAAAGAAATAAAACTACAATCTATTAAAAATGTCTAACTCAAAGGTATTTGACAGATCTTTTTTATTTTAAAGTAACTTTGAAAAGACTAGTGAATAAACATTCAAGTCAGGCAAATGATATGCTCCTTTAAGAGGAGTAGAATGAATATAAATATAATTTGAAGAATCCTTACGTGATCTGAAGGGAAGGCTTTGGCTTCTAGAAGAATTTTATGTCTCTTCGGTGTAGGCTTAAAAAATGATAACTGCAATGAAGTGGATTTATTGAAAAGAGAATTAATACAAAATTTATGCATTTGCTCATTTTATTCCACAGTTTATTTCATAATTGCTAGCACATAAAAGGTATTAATTACAAATTGGAATGTCTGTCTAGGTTTTTTTTTTTTTACCAATTAGCCTTGTTGTCAATGAATTAGAAAAAGGAAGAAGATATAGGCTCATTATGTTTATCAAGGGAAAAGCAAACTCAGAAAAAAAATGTCAATCAGATAAAAACACATTATCAAACTTTACTTAAATCTTGGGCTGGAGTGATAGCACAGTGGTAGGGCATTTGCCTTGCGCACAGCCGGCCTGGCCAAGCCAGTTTCGATTCCTCCACACCTCTTGGAGAGCCCGGCAAGCTACTGAGAGTATCTCACCCGCACGGCAAAGCCTGGCAAGCTACCTGTGACGTATTCAATATGCCAAACACAGTAACAACAAGTCTCATGATGGAGACATTACTGGGCTTGCTCGAGCAAATGTATGAATAACGGGAGGACCGTGACCATGACTTAAATCTTAATTGAAAAATTATCTTACCTATGAATTTAATGTCAATTTCTCAATTGTGGGAGTGAGATACCATATTCTATGTATGTCTTACTAATTTTGATTTTTTTCACTACCGAATTGGTTTCAGTATGGAATATTTTCATTACACTATTATTTCAGGTTCAACTAAAAGTACTTTTTAAAAAAAAATTTTATTTATTGAATCACGTTCAAAAAGAGAACTCCCAGAACGACCACCAACTGGGAACTTTTTGGCACTATTGCGGCAACATGGGAAGATGCCATTGTTGACAACATTGACGAGGAATATGATCGACTGGTTCAGCACCTCCATGAATGTGCGAGGAATGCCAAAAGAGAGATAGCCACAAAAAATCGCCAGTCTTCGAAAACTCTTGAGCTAATTCGCCAGCATGGTTTGGCACATGCCTCAGGCAACCGCAAGCTAACGTCCGAGCTCGCAAAGCAGTGCAGAGATGCAATCAAGGAAGACCTCAAAGAGAGAAGAGCAGACGTACTGGTAGATGCGGCAGAAGCTGGGAAAAGTATTCATAACACCCGCCTGTCCTTCGCCAACTACAAGACCAAGATGACTGCCCTCCGACGTCCTGATGGATCCATCACATCCTCCAGAATGGCAATGGAGTTGATTTTCCATGACTTCTACTCAGATCTCTTCGATATCCATGTCCACCTGCCCACATACCAAATTCTGCAGGATGGATATGTCATTCCCAATGTTCTCCCTTCCGAAATCCAACACGCCATTTCGTTGGTAAAGAAACAAACAGCACCCGGCCCAGACAAGGTCAAACCTGAACACCTGAAGAACCTGCCGTCAGTACTCATCAATACACTGGCTCGGCTCTTCACTCGCTACCTGTCTGAATGCAAGGTTCCGTCCCAGTGGAAAACCAGCAGGACCGTACTACTGTTCAAGAAGGGAGATATCCATGACATTGGCAACTATCACCCGATCGCCTATTGTCTGTCATCTACAAGTTGTTCACTCGAGTCATCCTAAATAGGATTGGCAGAACACTAGATGAAGGACAACCATGCGAGCAAGCCGGGTTCCAAAAAGGATTCAGCACCATCGACCATATCCACACGATAACCAAACTCATTGAGGTTTCTCGGGAGTTCAAGATGCCGCTCTGTTTAACGTTCATTGATTTAAAGAAGGCCTTTGATTCTGTTGAGACGGAAGCGGTCATTGAAGCCCTAGCCAATCAGGGCATTCAAGCCCAATACATCAAGATCCTCCGTGAGCTGTATTGCGGATTCACTACCAGGATCTCACCATTCTACAAAGAAGTAATCATTGATGTCAAGAGAGGGGTGCGGCAGGGTGATACCATTTCACCGAAACTCTTCAGTGCCACCCTTGAGAACATCATGCAACGACTGGAATGGGAAGGAATGGGAGTGAAGATAGATGGTCGGCAACTACACCACCTCCGCTTTGCTGATGACATTGTTTTAATAACACCAAACATCAGCCAAGCGGCACAAATGCTGGCCAACTTTGACCATGAGTGTGGGAAGGTAGGACTACGGCTGAATCTTACGAAGACAATGTTTATGAGAAACAGCCTCGTTCCTGATGCCCCATTCGCTCTCAATGGAATGACCATCTCCGAATGCAACAGCTATGTTTACCTAGGTCGAGAAGTCAACATGACAAATGACCTGGCACCCAAGCTGCGCAGGAGGAAGAGAGCGGCTTGGAACACCCTCAAGAACGTCAAAGAAATAGCTAAGAGGACGAAGAACCTCCGGCTCCAGGCACATCTCTTTGATTCCACTGTTCTTCCTGCATTAACATATGCCTCAGAGACCTGGGCCCTCCGCAAACAAGATGAGAACGCTATTCAGGTCTCCCAAAGAAGAATAGAAAGAGCTATGCTTGGAATATCATGTTTCACTCAAATGAGAGAAAGAATCTGGAGTTCTGATATCCATCGACGATCAAGAATCAGGGACGCTGTCTCATTTGCCAAGGTGTCAAAAATCAGATGGGCTGGTCACGTAATGAGATTTAAAGATGACCGCTGGACTAGTGCTGTTACCGACTGGATTCCACGGGATGTCAAGAGACCGCGTGGCCGCTCACCTACCAGATGGTCAGACTTCTTCGTCAAGATCATGAACGATCGGTTTGAGGCTCTTCATCTTCCCAGAGCGAACAGATGCCATTGTGCTACACTAGCACGCGACAGGGACAAATGGAGACGTTACTGGCGCCCGCTCGAGCAAATTGACGACTAATGGGAAGTTAAGTGATTATTAAGTGATTGAATCACCGTGGAAAAGGTTACAAAGCTTTCAGGTTTAAGTCTCGGTCATGCAATCATCAAACACATTTCCCTTCACCAGTACTTACTTTTCACTACCAAGAACCCCAATATACCCCCCTCCCAACTCTCCCAATGCCTGTGAGGCAGATGAATTCTAGTTAACACTCTATCTACTTGGATTAGATTCACTGTTTCGACAAAAGATGCACCATTATTATTTAGAGTTTACACCCCAAATCAGACCTGCTGAAAAGGCATTGTGAAATAATTTATTTTCTACAGCTGGTTACAATAAGCAAATGATGTCGCCTGGCCTCGATAGCGGCTGCACGATTTTGGATTTCTGGTATTTTACTTAATAAGCATGCAAGTATTTCTGCTAAGAGTCAGATAATTATGAGATTGTTTTTTGTGGCTCTGGAGCCATGGCTGTGCCGGATAGCTGCTCGTGGGGGGCAACTCATGACCTTGGTAGGGCGTGAAGGACGAGCCAGGAAGGTCCCCTTCCCATGAGGTTTCAGTTGCCCTGTCACGACCGGCCCATACGTGGCTTTCCAAAAAGCTCTGAGGCGGCCACCATCTTGCTTTCCAGAGGGAAAAAGGTGGAAGGGAGCAACACCCTTTCCCCTCTGGGAACGCATGGTGGCGTGGATTAACACATAGTCCATTCACTTTTTTGCCACAAGCTGCCAGGCTCTGAATTAAGTACTTGTGCTTCTGGAGCCATGGCTGTGCTGGAAAGCCACTCGTGGGGTGGGGGTGGGAGGCAATTCGTGACATTGTAGGGCATGAAGGATGAGCCAGGAACGCCCCCCTTCCCATCAGTCAACTAAAAGTACTTTAGATCTAACATGGGACATTTGATCATTCTAGAGATATACAAGGTACTTGCTTATTTTGTCAATGGAACACTCATTTTCTCCATAGCACCTGGAGAAAAATTACTCACAGCAATAACAGAAAATGATTGCAACTATTAAGTGGCAATTGGTTACTAACTAGATGATAAATAAATTTTCTTAGATATCACATTTGATAATCTGTGAACACCTAAGAGATACCTCCATTTCACAAAGGAAGACATATTATTTAGAAATGCCAAACTTTTTGCCCAAAGTTTAACACGCAGTAATTTAGCTGGGAGTGAAACCCTGGGGTGTCTAAAAATAAAATTATGCTGCTTATCATCAAACTTAATATATCCATAAGCATGATATTCTGGCATATTTGATAATCAACTTTCCATTTAAAATAGAATATTAATATCTTCATTGTATACTTTGGTTATGCGTTTACAAAAGCTTGCTTGATAATAAAATTAAGATGTTAAGGCATCCCTGGCATCCCATATGGTCTTCATGAGACTGCTTAGGAGTGATTCCTGAGCGTATAGCCTGGAGTAACCCTTGAGCACTGCCAGGTGTGACCCAAAAACAAACAAACAAACAAAAAACAAAAAAGAAAAAAAATATTCTTTATGGAGCTGGAGAGATAGTACAGTGGGTAGGGCACCTATATATGTTTGACCCAGGTTTGATCCCCAGCATCCCATGTTGTGTCCCAAGCACCACCAGGAGTAGCTCCTGAGTGCAGAGCCAGGAGTAACCCCTGAGCACTGCTGGGTATGGCCCTCAAAACAAAAAATAAAAAATTAATTTAATTTAATTTAACTTTATGGCATTAGGCAATTCTTTAGGTACCATATGCCACATCAAGAATGCATTTTAAAGAAATGAGGCTTGCTCTTCATGCCCAGGTTCTCCCTTGATCATTCATCTCACTTGCTTGTCTGCTATCTTGGAAAAAAAGGAAAGAATGCATTTGACACTTAAGGTGTTAAAATACTAATTAAGTATTTAGGATGCAAGATCTTTTAAACATAGTCACTTTTTAAATGTAGTAGATCTATTTTCCCTATTTTCTAAGTCTTAAACCATCTGACCCAAATTACAAGAGTATAGCAATTCATAATGACTTTTTGCTAGTCTGATGTATAAAAATGCTATCTTTCTGGGAAAAAAAACTTAATGCTTTCCTAGCATCTGCACATTGCACATTGTTGCTTTGTATGTTTGCAAGTAGTTTTGCTTTTCACCCACTGAAACACTCTTCCTTATGTTTCAAGATAAGAACTGTTCATTATTCTAAAACTCTTTAGAACAGTTAAGTTTCCCATGATTATTAGAAAACATTCTTTCAAGTATGGTCCAGAATTTCCTGGTAAAAATTAAAATAACCCTCACAACATGTTTTTAAATAAGTAAACCACCAGATGCTCATGAATTAAAGATAGAAAACTGTCAGATTCTGTAATTGAGTGTGTGCTAAACATTGATGGGAAAGGAAACTTACCAGTAGAAGATGTAAATTAACAGTCAAAGCATTCATTAGGACTATTTCTTTCTCATTGGCTCCTGCAAAGTAAACATAGCTTACTTTTTATTTTTTAAAAAATTAGTTCTGAAGATTCTTAAAAAATCAAAGTAGAGAGACCACTCCTTTTTATTGTTAGTAGAAGTAAGGACATATTTAATGTGTCATCGCTGTAAAGTGGAGGTTGTTTACCCACTTGACTCATTTAATAAAATGGTATCTCTATTCACACGCACATAACTAGCTTAAAATTATATTTCCTTTCTGATATAGTGAATAATAACAACAAAATAATGAAGCATTTTCTCTTTACTGTAAAATAAAAATGATTAATCTATTATCAGCTAGTTTGCTAAATTCCCATAGAGTACATTTTTGTGGTAAATGTCTCTTCAAAAGGATCTAAACAGATATTAGGGCCAATAACTTTTAAAAGCTGGTTGTTTCTAATGTAAAATTAAAATGCACCTTCCATAAAAGAAGGCGATTTTGTCAAATGTAATTCACTGTGTTATTACATTGAGATATGCAATACTTTAGAAAGTTAAAAGACCTTAATAGCTATTAGGTTTACTCATATACATTGAGATATAAGACAATTAGCACAGTTATATATTGTCTAACAGAGAAAACATACAAATTAAAAATCCACTTAAGCATCATAGTCTAATTAATTTGTATTAATGGGGTTTTTATCACCAGAGAAAGGACAAGAGACAAAGCATGCACTAGATGCTTAAGCATTCAGGGCATAATAATAACACTTTTCCTGTCTTTAGTTTTTATACCTCTTAAAGACAATTATAATTGCTTGTGTAGCAGGAATTATGTATCTTTACCATTAATGAGAGAAATGGAGTATGTGACCAATTATAAGACTCTACTAGATTTTAGAGAATATGTATATTATAAGTCCTACATTTTATATGGAAAATATTCTTTCAAGATCCCTATTTTAAAAGTAGACATTAAGTGGAATAACTAATTAACAAATGCATTCTAAGTTAAGTAAACGTGAGAGAAATATACTAAAAATATAAACATATATTAGGAATCTACATTCTAATGACGAGCCAATGTCTTCACAAAATGAGGAAAAATATTTGCATTGCCATATGAACTTTTCTATCTTGTATATAAGGAAAGAAACAAGGTGGTAGGTGTTAAGAGATTTATCCTTGGCCACTAGGTAGTATTTAGAAAAATGGCATCAAAATCATAGTTATTCCAAATTTCTACAAGTAATTAAGATCTTTTTTTGCCACAGCAGATAGCTCTGAATATGATAAAACTAGTATGTTTTTCCTATGAGTAATTTTTTTTGATGTTTGCAAGAAAATTCTTGCCACATTTTTATATTTTGTTTCTTGGATTATGGAGTGTGTCTTAACTGTTATATCTAAAATATAATTTATTATCTAAGATATCTAATCTGGTATCCTCAATTTCCTGATAGCTATTTTTCACATCATTTTTGAAAACCATTTATTTCAATAAAACATATTTTGTCAGGAAGATTAGAAGAAAAGGTGGGGGAAATATAATGTAAAGAGAGCATGGTTGGGAATACAGTACCCAGTGCCAAGTACATATAGAAAGCCTGGGTTGGATCCTCCGTACCACTTGAAACACCAGGCACCATGGGAAGTGATGCTCAAGCACGGAGCTGAGATCTCTCAAACACCTTTAGAAGTTGATTATAAATTGAAAAATAAAAATAAAAGATCTTTTTGCATGGGTGGGTTGGGCCACAAATATTGGTACAGAAGATAATCCTGTCTCTGCTTAAGAGTGAAACCTGGCTGTCTTTAGAGAACCATTTTCAGTGCTCTGAGGATTAACCCAAAATGGGCAGCATGTAAAGCATGCATGTTAACCTCTCTATTATCTCTCTTATACTGAAGTTTTTTTTTTAATGAAAAAGAATACAAAATTAGGGCCAGGGATGTGTTTCAGTGGTTAAGTAGCTGCCGTTTATATGTGAGATCCTGGATTTAATTGTATGCATTAATAAAAAGGGGAAAAAACAGAATAGAAAAGTAGTCATATGAAAAAATATGATAATCAGAAAGAACAAAGAAGAATAAAGGAAAACAAAATGCCACAAAACAAAAAAGAAAGAATTGGAGGAAGTAAGGGAAGGAAAAGAGTTACTATAGGAGCTCAGACATTCTGTTTTGTTAAATTGCTTTTAGACTTAAATTATTATAGACATTTTTGTCTTGTCAAACAACAGTGTTCACTTTGATCACCACAAATTCTCCTTTCAAGAGAGTATAATAAGTCATGCATGTTCAGGTAATTTATTCTATGTCTAGACTTGTAGACTTGACATTTTGCTTTTCTCTGCTCTCTCTCTCTCTCTCTCTTTCTCTTTCTCTCTCTCTCTCTCTCTCTCGGATGCAAGATGGGGAAAGCCACATCAGCGGTAACAGCTTACTACTGGCTCTTTCTTAGCAGTACTTAGGAAACCATATGGGGTACTGGGAATTGAACCCTGTTGACCTCCTGCCTATTGACCTCCTGCTACTGCTTACCTGCTCTACTCTCTACACATCGCCCTTGCTCTCTTTCAAAAGCTTAGTAACACTTATATCAACAATTCCTTAAAGAACTCCTTTACAAAATGACTAGCAATTTTTCTGTCCCTACACACAAATAGGATCCCACTTTGGAACTTTTCAATCTGAATAAAACTTTCCACTACTTCATAAAATGCTCTCCCCACCTCTTGCCGAACTTCACTGAGGATGAAGCCACTCCATTATTAAATGCATATGCACACACATGTATATGTGAGGATGGTGTCTGTATAAAATTTTCATTCCATTTGCAGACATAAGTACTTCAAATAGAAAGTAAAAGCACCGAAGACCAAGAGCTCTTAACATCAAAAAGGCACAAACCAGTAAGATTAGTATTTAGTGTTCTTTCAAAAGAAAATTTACCTAATTGACCTTTTTGATTCAAATTGTATCCCTGAGCTAATATTATTATAAGGTGCTCTCAATAATTCATAAGAAAATAAAATTTTAATATTACTAATAGAATTTTTTCAAGCTGTCTTTTGTTGTTCATTCGCCCTATTCTTGTCTTTATTCTAAAACTTTATCATTAATATTAATATTATTTCGATAGCAAAGCGGGTAGGGCGGCGTTCGCCTTACACACGGCCAACATGGCCAACCCGAGTTCGATTCCTCCGCCCCTCTCGGAGAGCCCGGCAAGCTACCGAGAGTATTCGATATGCCAGACACAGTAACAACAAAGTCTCCAATGGAGACGTTACTGGGCCCGCTCGAGCAAATCGACGATCAACGGGAGGGCCTTTACTTTTACTTTACTATTGAAACTTCTAGATCTATAAATGTTGTGGGGGGGAAACTACAAAAAACTTCCAAACATTTTATTGATCCTTAACAGCTACGTTATTATTATTATTATTATTATTATTATTATCATTATTTTCATTATTAAGTATTTGGTTTGTTTTTTGTTTTGGGGCCACATCCTGAAATGTCAGTGGTTACTCCTCGGTCTGCACTCAGAAATTACTCCTGGAAGTACTCAAGGGGCCATATGGGATGCCCAGGATGCCAAGGATTGAAACTGGATCAGCTGCATGCAAAGCAGGGAACCTAGTTTTACTACTATCACACAGGCCTCCAAATGACTTTACTTTAAAAGAACACGTACAACACCACCATTGGCAAATACCAATATTTTACATAACATGTGAGCTAGGGATCTCATTTAAGGGTATTTTCATTCTATGAATTGAATACATACACATTCACATATACGTGTTTCTATTTTTTTCTTTACCAGTAGGTGAAGATTAGTTATTTACAAGAACTGACTTTTTGGCTCAGTTCTTGGAAAGCTATTTTTTATTTGCTCTACTCACAAATTTCTAAATTATGTGATATTTCTTATCTCTACAGAACTCACAATGATCATACAAAAAAACTATTTTATTTTCAGCACTTTATCAATGAAAAAAAGGACATCAGAGAAATGAACCAATAAGCCAAACGTATCACAAATTTGAAGTAGAAGAAAAAGTAAAGGAAAAAAAAAAAGGATTTTGCTGTAGATCACATGATTGAATTTGGAAACATTATCAAAACTATCTCTCCCTTTAAGTGAAAGTATGAAGTCCACTTTCATTACCAAATACCCAACGCATGTTTCTAATACTAATTTAATTCTAAATATTTTTAAAATTGAAGATATCTGGATCCAAACTTACTTAATAATAGGATTCATGTTTATGTTTGGTCTTCTAACTGCTCTACCATATTCTGTTTATATCACTAAGCTGATGCTTTTTTTTTATACGAATCTGGTTGTAGGGTTTGTAGTTAGATTAAATATCAAACTTTTTATTCTGTGATTCAAGTAACAAATTCCAATGACCTCTAGAGACAGTATGGCTGCAGGATTCATAAACATTTAGAGAGAAGTTGCAGAGATGATTGTTTGTCTGAGGGTCAGATATACAAGTTTCATAAAGCAAATTTATGTTCACATTGCAACAATTTTTATGAGCTAAAATGCATGTATTAGCCCTTGGTGATTTTTATGTACCCTGGGAGACATGGGCTTAATAATAATACAATAATATTCTTCAGCAATTCTATTTCTAGTATCTTGATAATATGACAGTAATTATAAGGGAAAGTTATTCCATATTTTGCAGAATTGTTGGCTCCCTATAAAACGTTTTATTAATAGTTTTTCTTCTCATCTGAAATTGAAATTTCTTCATATGTCTCTGAATAAATGTGGTTGTTCATTTTCGTTTTCTTTCTCTATCAATTTGTACACATAATTATTTTTTATTATTATCTTGTTGCTTCTTTTTAAAAATTTTATGGAGAAGTAAAAACTGTGTTTTGAAATATCAATCATGATCCCAATTATAAAACTTATCTGTGAGCTCATGACACATTTAAATAGCCTAGTAAGTAGCAAATATTTGACTTCTGACATTCTTTACTGCATTTATCACATAATTATTTTGTAATTTATGCCACACCTATTTCCAAAGAGGATCTGAGATTACTTGTATCATAATGTGAAGAATGACTTAAAAATGTCAAGGGTATGCAAATGAAAACCAAATTAGAAGCTATTAAATTTCTTTTGTACTTCAAATTCACCTCCATTTTCTCAGAACTTTCTAGTAATTGAAACAAAATGGGAACCAGAGGGAGAATTGCAACAGAAACACATATACACACCTACCCCTTTTCCAAGACTGTTTTTATACAAAAGCAAAATAAATTCATTTGTTAATTATCAGCTCAAATTAGGAATAATTTTTCTGCCTAACCTAGAAATTATGAATGTAAATTTGGGAAATAAAAATTATTTGCTAAAATATTAAAACACAGCTTTAAAATTCATAGTGTACTTGCAGGCATTGTATCAGATATTTATGGTTAAAAATATAATGATCGAAATGTCTCAATTGATAAGTCATGAACTGCAGAAAACAAAACATTCGTTTAGTAAAATAATCATAATCAGAGATTATCATTATTCACTGACATTAGTTTAAATACAATACTGCAATATATTTGTGACATATACTATTATTGCTGCTGTACTATAATTGCTGCTGTACTATTACTAGCAATAGTACAATCAAGGTTTTGGAATTTATGTATATATATGTATATATATAATAAACTGTGTATGTATAGCTTATTAAGGTTCAAGTCTACAAATTTAAAGAGTTAGTTAATATCTTTTATAACCTACATTGTTATCACCAATTTTGTTTTTAATTAATTTAATATTCTAAAACAAATACATAAAAACATGTTTGTCCCATGCATGTTACAAATTTGTATGTTTTTTTCAAACAAAGAGCCCTAAAGCTAGAGTTGATAAATGTTTCTTTAAAAATGAATAAATAGGGAGTCCAGAATGATAGTACAGCAGGTAGGGTCTTGCCTTGCATGTGGCTTATCTAGATTTAATTTCTGGCACCATATATGGTCCCCAGAGTACTGCCAGGTGAGGCCCCAAAACAAAACAAAAAATTAAATTGGTTAATCAGTTGTTCTAAACAAAATTAAATATTTTAAAAATTAATTTTCTTTCATAATGATAATGAAGGGTGGCTGTTAAAAAAAGTTAGTGATCTCTGTGACATAAAATTTACTTGGCAATAGACTTGTAAAAAAATTGCAATATTAACAGTCAGAGCAATAATAGTAAAGCAGGCAGGTGTGCTTGCTTTGCATGCAGCGGACCCAGTTTTGGTCCTTGATACTGCACATGGTTCCCCAAGCCTTGCCAGGAGTGTTTGCTGAGCACAGAGCCAGAAGTAAGCCCTGAGGAGATCCAGGTGTTTGGCTCCAAAACCAAACTAAACCAAACAACAGAGAAACAAATGTTTAAGTAGCTAAAAGAAACTTTTTGGGAGGCTTACTGACTTCCTAAATCGATTTCAATAAGTAATATCACCCTGCCACTTTCCTGTACATATAACCACACCTTTCTAGAGGATTGTGAATATTAAACACAAAATAACAGGATTAATATATGGATTATGTTAAAAAAACAAATCTATGAAAGAAAAACCAAAGATCAGTGTTAAAGAAAACATAGTCTCAGATGAGGTTAATCACGGTTTTTCAAAATATACACTATTCATTTGAATAATGGCTTCTTAAAATCTAAACATGCATATATTGTTAAACAACTATCTTACATACTTTTCGTGGCGCACCTGGATTCTCAAAGTGGTTTCTTCCTGCCTCACAAAGTACACTAGTTTCAGATCACTTCCATAGCATGTTCATTAAGTTCCCGCTAACCTAATGGGTGAAGCAGGAGGTGCTCAGCATTCATCTTTACTGAATTTTACTGCATAACCACTGCAAAAGTCATGCTTTTTTTTCTCTGTTAATGGGATGTGACCATTATGTGAAGCTTTTTATTAAATTCTATGAGTAGTAAAAGCATCATGTGATGAATATGCAGTGCAGTGAAATAAGGTTTTCGGCAGACTGTGTATGTGCACACTGGGGTTTCTGATTAAATCATTGGTCTCAGTACCTACACATTCGGGCTCGAAGTGCCCCACCTCCTCCCCACAAAACTTCTATACTTCCAACCTTACAACTACTTTTGTCTCAGTCTCTGTTATCTGAACTATAGAGGTTTCTATTTAATTTTTGTTATTGTTTTATCTAATGTTTGCTAGTGCTGCTTTTAATTTGCATTCCCCTCCCCCTTAAGATTTATCTTTCCTTTGAATAAAAGGAAATATTTTGAGTTTGTACATAATTGGGTGTCTTAAACCAGAGGTCAATGTTTTAGCATTATCATCTCATTTGCCATTCTATTTGTTCTTGAGCCTCACACTTTTTTGTCCCCTTAATTGTATTATAGCTTACTTATTGAAACTTCAGAGAGGAAAAAATTATTTATATTAAAATGCGTCTATTTAGGCTTCTATAATGAACTATAATTCCCTGTTTTTTGAACCACTCATATTAATGATTATTCTATATTTATTCTTATTATGTGACTATGGGTATGTATTCCTTTTATATTTCTTGTTATATTCCTTTATGAAAATTTCATGAGAATGAGATATTAAGAATTGATTTCTCCCAGCCTTTTTTGGGGATGTGTGTAGAGGCATACCCAGTGATATTCAGTGCTTAGACCTAGCGTTGTGCTTAGGGGTCGCTACTGGTGGCTGCATGGGACTATATGTGGTACAGGGAGATTTGAACTAGATAAGCTATAAACAGGGCAAGCACCTTACCCCCCTGTAACATCACTCAAGCCTAAGGAAGGAAAGAATTCAAAGTTCTGATTTATTCATTTATTTATTTTTAAGTACACCCAGCACTGTTCAGGGCTCTAAGCTCAGGGTTCACTCCTGAGGCGGCTCAGGGGACCTTATGTGGTGTCTGGCATAGAACACAGATTGGTGCCAGGCCAGACAAGCACTCTACCTGCTGGAACAATGGTCCATCACCTTGACCTCAAGTTCTGACTATAAGCAGAGGAACAGCAACTTTGAATAAATGAGATAGTTTCCAGGATCAGGAAGACAGTTTAGCGGTCAGTGAGGTTATAGTTTGCATTTGCAGGAGCCTGAACTCATTCCCCAACACATCTTAGGCCTTTGAGAGGGATAGGGTTTAGCCATAGTTGCCAGACCAGCCATATTGGCTGAGTATATCTGGGAGGGTTGCAAGGCCTCCAGTGTACAACTTGGAAATGCCCTTGTCACAGTCTCCCTGCCCCCTCTCCCTAATTAATATCCAAAAAGATTTGAATGATTCGAATTTATCAAAATTCTAAAACTGCATATAAGTCATATTTTTCCTATTTTGATTCCATTTTCTCATAAGAACACTGGTTCTGTTTACCAACTACTGACCAATATACAATTGCAATGAAGCAGAAGGTGATTCATCAATGAGGTTTGAAGAACTGTGACAACGGGGGTGGGGAGTGTGGGTGGGGGGTTCCTAAGTCCTTTAAATATTTCCAGTCTGACCATTCTAATGGTAAAACATTAACTGTGGTTATTTGCAAAGCTCCAAATATAATTTAGGTAATGTGGAAAATTCAATACTGCTTAATTAAATAATTATTATATTACCACCTTTACTATCTCAAACTATCTTGAATAAGTCCCAAAGTTTTTATAACTAACTTCAGGAAACACGTACAAGCCAAAAAGCAAAATCAAATTTATTACCTTTAATAATATTCAGCCTAATTTACAATAAAAGACACAATTGGTCAGATTAAAAATGGCCAAAAATGGTAGGGGTTTTGAAACTCAAGTATGTAAAAATTGATGTTTATTTCACTATATGCTAAAAACCTTAAAAATAAATTTAGGATTTTTGAGCCAGAAAGAACACGATAAGGTGGGTATAAACTCTGTTATCAGGAGGCTTAGATTTGATCCCCTTGATCACATTATCTCTGAGCAACATTGAGAGTGACTCCCTGGATACAGAACTTAGAGTAGCCCACACACAGCAACAAGGTGTGGCCCAAATAAATGAAAACAATAAGATTGTATTTTTGAATGGAGAGATAATTCTCCTTGCATGAAGAACTCCTGGCTTTTTCCCTGGTAAAGAGTGGTCCCCTAAGCATTGCTGAAAGCAGTCCATTAGCAAAGAGATGGAACAGTCTCTGAGTATCTCCAGGTATAGCCCTCAAACAAAACAAACAAAAAGAATAAATATAACTCTTTTGGAGCTGGAGGACTAGCTCAAGAGGCTGAAAACATGTTTTGCATGCAGGAAGTCTACTTTTAATCCTTGGCACTGCATGGTCCCTTGAGCACTGTTGGGAGTGATCCCAGAGACAGGAGCATTCCTGAGTTTTTCATTGGAAAGCAAATATTAGTATTAAAATATATGAAGAACCTCTTATGATATATTTGTTTGTAAAGTAATATAGTTATGTTCATTGTAGCAAACAACTCTCAATTAAAGGTAGGCTTAGTCTGTTTGAGTGCCACTACTAGCAGTGTTCGGACCTTAATTCTGGCTTTACGCTCATGTATCACTCCTTTGAAATTTAGCTTACTTTTTACTAAATTGAATTAAAATAGAAAATCAGCCAGATTTTCAAAAATATTTAACTTCGTAACTTATGTATTTAACTACTTTGACCCTTTAACAAAAGTATTCACTTTGTACTTACCTACAATGTCAGACATAAGGCCTGCAATAGTTTCATCTCCTGTAATCCAAGGACGTTTTCCTATTTCATGACCATAGGCACCCCTGAAATTTAAAGGAATATAAACATGTGATTTTTCTGAGCATCAGGATTAACAACTGGACATTTCTAAATTAATATTTTTAGCGTTTCCATGATGATGTGAAAGCATGCTTTTTAATAACTTTTAATAAGTAATTATAGAAGATTTTATTAACTTTTCATCTTGTATTAACTTGTCATCTTTAGAGTTCTTTGACTGTTTCATGTTGGAGTGGGGTAAAGTGGAAGGTGAGATCGCCTATTTTACTGATTTCTGTTTGTTCAATATGCTGTTTTATTATTTTATTCTGAAATTTTCAATACTATTTTAAAATGTTACATGTACACTTATATGATATAATGGTATCTATACTAAATCTATTTGGGTTGGGTGGGCAAAGACTAAAATGAGTAATTGAGTTTTAGATAAAGCTCTAATCAATTAAATAAACATATATAATATAATACGGGACCTTACTCAAGGCAATCTTATAAGCTAGGCAATAATCAAAGTCATCACTAAATTCCAAACTATTAGCAATTTTATCTACTATATTCCAACTAAATTTTATTATTCTAGTAATATTATAATATTTAAGTGCAATGACAAAATAGAAAATAATTAATAGAAAAATTAACCCTCAAGATATCTCTATTAGGGATTGGAGTGAGAGTACAAGGGGTAAGCCTGATATATGCCAATTCCATATCACTACATCACCTGACTATTTAGTAAATAATTGTAGGACTAAGTTTTCCATTTTTTAAAAAGGAAATTAATGACAATATGGATTCCCAAGGATTGCTGTGAAAAATAGTGTAAGAAATCGGTATCTTAAAAAGTGCTTCTGACATAAGTGTCACATGCTGGTGATCATTGGTGCTAGTCTTCCCTCCCCCAAAAAGAAGTCTGGTATCTAGTAACTCTTTTTCTAAGTCTTCCATCTTTTTCTAAGTCTTCCATCCTAATGTGAAAATTCCCATCATTCTGAACTAATATTTTAACTACCATATAAAGGGAGAAAAAGAAGACTCTTGGAGAATAAACATGGATTATAATAACTAAGAAAGGTTGGATTTATAGTAAATTGAGTAGGCTGCATTCCTTGTTTGTATATTTGATCCCCAGCATCCCATATATATGTTCTCCCTGGGCCTTTCAAGGAGTGATCCCTGAGCACAAAGTCAGAAATAATTTCTGAGCACAACCAAGTATGGCCCAAAATGCAGAAACAAAACAAAAAACTAAGGAAGAAAAATTGAAGGGCAACTGTTAACTATTATTATTTATATTATTAGCAAATGTCCTGCAACTTGCTTTCTTTTTGACTTCTAATAAAAATTCAAAGACAAAAATCAGTGTCATTAAATAACAGTTAAAGGCAGATACTTGGGTCCTTTTTTTGATTTTAATCACATAGAACTCCATGGCCTTCCCTGATAGCACAATACATCTTATTACATTTAGGTAGTAAAATTCTATGTTCTGCCTTAGAGAATTTATATCTCAGAATATCATGCCACCTACTTCTACTCTGGAAGACTTTGTGATGATAATCTTTAAGAATTCTTTTCTTCCTCCGGTGCTTCTGGCATCTCCCTGCCTTTAAAATATCACACTCTGCCTCTTCATTTTGTCAGTCTACTAGCCTGAGGTAGTGAAATGTATTTAGTGCTACCCAAATAAACTCAGTAAAGAGGTCTGTCATTAGAAAGAGTTGCTGTAGATTATGAAGCAGTTATAAACATTTGCATTAAAGTTAAGAAAGGAATTATATTGTTCTCTTGCAGTCTAGTTGGAATCTTCTTTCACAAACAATGGAAAGGAAAAAAAGGCTGGAGAGTCAACAATATAGCAGCATAAATCATTTGCTGCAAGTGGATCGTTGGTGTGAGAGCTACAAAACATAATATTTTCTCTAGAAATTAAACTTCAGAATATAAAATCTAATTAGAAAGTGTGAACATTAGTATTCAAAACCCTTATTGAATTGGGTTTGTGAAGTTATAGAGGGCATGCATGTGCAAATCAGCAAGCTACAGGGAATACTACTTCCCTTTTATCTTCCAAGAGTATCAATGCTGTCTCAGCCTCCAGCATGACAGGGGGTTAAGTTTTAAGTTCTCTAAAGTTCTAAGAGTCATTCGTTTTGAATTCAGCAAAGTACAGATGGGTTTTGCATGACTACAATGACTATTGAGTGTGTTGTTTTGGTTTGGTTTGGTTTTGGAGCCACACCGGCTGTGCTTAGTTGGGGCTTACCCGGAGTCTGTGGACAGGGATCACCCCAACGCTCAGGGAGCCATTTAGTGAGTGGCACGTGAGATCAAATCCCAGTCATCAGTGTGCATGGCAAGCTTCCTTCCCACTGTACTGTCTCTCTTGCTCCATAATCACACTTTTAAATCCAACCTCTATTGTTTCTGAACTACTTGATTGCTAAAATGACCTTTTTGTTTGAATGTCAACAAATGCTAATAAGATGTGTAGTACCTCTGAAATAAGAACAGGCTTTAACTATCTTACAAAATGAAATAATCAAAAACAAACAAATAAACAAAAAAAAACCCCAAATGAAATAATCCTACCTTTAAAAGTTCCACTCTTTAAGTAAATAGAGGACAGAGTCTTAATACTATCATTTCCCCCTACAATTTAAGCGAAAATTAGCCAACACAGAAATAAAAAGTTCTTTGTTCTGTGTCATACCATGTTGCCTTTATTCATACTACACTTGATCTTAGCCAAAAGGCCAAGAAATAATGTGACTCTATTCATAATAAAAGGTGGCAGAATATTCTATATTAAAGTTGCTCTCTTTAGTATAAAGATTATTAGGAGCTGAGGGTACTTCAAAAATATCAAATCCATGTATAGACTGGTCTTAAATTTTCTGTAAAGGGACTGGAGAGATAGTATAGTGGATAAAATAAGGTGCTTGCCTTCTGTGTAGCTAATCTGGGTTTAATCACTAGCACCCTATATGTCTCCCAAATGCCCACCACTAGCCCTACAGTGATCCCTGAGTGAAGAGCCGAAGAACGCCCTAGTTACAGCTATGCATGGCCCCCAAACAAGGAAAACAGCCTATCTATACCTAAGACTGATCCCCAAAAGGAACTTGGATGCCACATATCCTCTTTCCAGAAGTTTTAGAGATGATTCAGAGTTGACCACAGGAGAGGAGAGTGAAAGTTAAGAACAAATCCATGCAAACTTTGCCAGAAACTATCATAGCTCACATGAAAAGCAAAAGTTCTTTTAAAAAAATAAAACCATTTTATAACAGACTCTGAGTTGCTATGGTGAAAAACCTTCCTATTGTTGACTTGTTCTGGGTCAAAAGACCTTAGAACTGGACCAAATCACAATTATTTCAGAATCTATTTTTTGAGATTCCAGCAGGAGAAAGGACATTTTGATCACAAAGACTGATGATTGTGGATTTTTATCAAAGGATAGAATCAGTAACCAATTACAGTCAAGAACACTAATTAACTCTTCTCCTTAACCACTTATCCCATCTTACTCTTTTCTTCCTACAATAACCTCAGTTCCTTGTTGAAACATATCTTTATATTTCTTTAAAACTATACACACTGAATTGTAATTAATTATATGTATTTTTGGTGGGGGAGGTGCTCAGGGCTAACTCTGGTTCCCTGCTCAGACATCACTCCTGGCAGAGTCTAGGGGACCATATGTAGTATTGGCAATTGAACTGGGGTCATTCATTTACAAGGAAAATGCCTTAACCTCAGAGCTCTCCTAGTAGTCTTGAACGGCAATCTTGGGAATCTCTAATCAGCAATAGATTGTGTCACCCAGATTGATAAGATCTGATTGAAGCCAAATATAAGGAATTGTTTGGTGTTAAACTATGTTTATATTTTGGACAATACAGACTAATGAAGCATTAGTGCTATGTGCTGTGGAGTGAGGAGCGCTTAGACAACACCAAAATCTGGACTAGTTTATGCGTTGGTCCACTTTATGCAAGTCAGGTTTTTAGTCAGAACAGCCTTAATTGGTACAATGCTTATTAGCCAGTGATTGTTTGAATGTAGAAGCCAATAGACTGCAGGATGTCAGGTTGACTTTATCTTCTTTCTTGAAGTGGACATGTCTGGATATGGCTGATGCATGACCTTTAAAAGTCCTCTTGACTTTCTTTTAATAACCCATACAAAATGCTTCATAATTTTTAGTAACTTTCATGTTTACATTTTTCATGTATTCTTCTAGACACTCTTTCATACTACTTAAAAATCATTTACTGATCTCCTAGGAGGAACTGTTTTGTTCTGGTGTATCCTCAAGAAACAATTCCCAAATAGCACTGTGAGAAGGCACGGAAACCAAAAGTTTATGCAGACGAGACTTGTGCTGAAAGTAGATGTCCGAGTGTCCACTGAGAGTACGCTGTGTCTTCTTTAAGGAATTTGAGCGTGTGTTTAACCAGCCACTGGTCATTACCCCTTTTTACTAATCAAGAACCACCCTACCTCCTCCTGCAATGTTGCATTTCTCTATAACTTACTGGACCATGCTTGCCTCATCCTTGCTCTCTGAGGCTTAGATATTCACTCCTAGTCTCACCCTTCCCACTCAATTCCACCAGATTCTTGTCTCTGACTTGGATGCTAGTCCGTCTCTCCTCTCATGGTCTCTATTTAAGATAATAGACATATATGCTTTAAAACCTCGCTGCTTTATTTACATGTATCCATTTTTCTGATTATGTTTTCATACACATATTAAAAATTAATAAACTAGACTGCCATTCCCTTGTTAACCTTTCTGTACTGGATTCACTACATTGACCCAGTTATAAGGAATTTTTTTCTGCCCCTTACTATAGACTTTTATTGTAAAGAAAGAAACTCTTAAATTAAAAGAGGATGCAGAGTCTGCAGGGGCACATCTTGCCTGTGAACTTCACCAGTGCCCTTTTTGTATACACACTCCCATATAAAGTAGGTCACTGTCTGCAAACCAGGCGGTTTTCTCCTGCTATGTAATTCAGTGGGCTATTTTCCACTTTAAATAATCTTACCTAAAATGTCACAGTTCTTGGAAGAGTGAATACCCATAAAGACAAAACTTTGGTAAGATTTTTCTCCTGAGGAAGAAGGGTATGAAGAATGGCATTTACCTAACAGTTTTGATAGTGCAGATGATATATAAAATATTGGGATTATAATTTAAGGTTGTAAATCTCTCAATAAGAAATGCTGTATTTATGACTGCTATATCATTCCCTTTTATCTGAAATTTAGCACTATGCATCTTAACACATTTTCTCTTTTAATAATCTGGGTTATTAGTAAATATTTAATATAACTTGTTCTAAACAACAGTTCTTTAAAGTGGGCCAGAGAGATTGTAAATATCATTGCCTAGCACATGGAGAATTCTAGCTCCATCCCTGTCAAATAATCTCTGGGCACAGAAGGGTGTGGCTCACTGACTTAGCTTCATGTATACTGATTCATATTGTGGCATACAAGAACTGATTATTATTGCATTTTATTATTATTGCTTATATCACTGATAATTTTTGCTTATCATCTAGATTAACTCATTGTAAAGTTGAAGTTTTCATTTTGAAATTATCTGTTTTATAATGCAAATTGTCATCTTAAAAATAAGATATTCTTCAAATAAAAGTCCTGTTAACTGATTTTAGGAATAAAATTGAATTGAATAGGACATTTTAAGATAATAGTCATTCATTTTTTGATCAATTTATTGGTTTAGGTGTTGTTTTTATTCTTACTGATGTCCTGCTGTTGATGGTAAGACTTACACTCACCTAGTAGCATGTAAATGCTTTATTTTCACACCCCTAAATCAATGGAAGTTTTAAAAAAATAATTTGGGTCCTAAAACATTTCTAAGTGTCCCCTTGTTCTTAACTTTCCTTTCATACAAATGACTGATGATGACAGCATTATAAATCATAAATTAGCTATAAAATACCATAGCCCTATAGTTTATGATAAGAAAATATGATTAGTTTTATGTTTAAGATAACCTATAAAGATAAGGCCATAAAGGGGCTGAGAAATATTATAGGAATTTAAGGTTTGCCTTGCATATAGCTGACTCTCATTAGTTCCCTGGCTTCACATCCCCTGAGTACCACTGCAAATGGTCCCTGGGTAGAGAAACGGAAATCAGTATCTTCCTACAGAAGGCAGTAGACTGCCCAACATGCTCTCTCAAAGAAAAAGAAAAGAACATAAAAGATGACAATCATATAGCCAACTGATATTTGGCCTGTCATGGAAGGGCAGACAGAGATTGGATATGCCAGTGCAATGCCATAAGAATTCAAACCATACTAATTTTTATTGCAAAGGTCAGATTCTAAATACTATTTTCTTACTAAGAAACTAAAATTAGCATTTCAACTTACATTAGAGTACGCAGTTGTTATGTGGCTCTTTTTGACTCAGTCCCTTCCAAATCTTATAGAGGTCAAGAAAGAGAAGAACTGGTCTAAACTACATACCACCTACGCATTGGGGCAGAGGGAATGTAAGAGGTAAAGAGGAACAGATGAAATTTTCAGATGAAGTTTACCCCAGTAACGGAAAATTGGATCTAGAAGCCAATAAAGAGAAAGGGAATTGCAGGTGTCAATTTCACCAAAGTGGCAGAAGGATTACTGTAAACTCAAAGAATGTAAATAAATGGTAGATGTGGGAGAAACACTCAATCTAAACATTCCTGGGGGTCAGGGTATAATAGAACTGGTAGGGCATTTGCCTTGCACATGGCCAACCTGACCAATTAGGATTCCATCCTCAGAATCCCATGTGGAGTTCTCCTGCCCTTCAGCACCACCAGGAGTCATTTCTGAAAGCAGAATAAGGAGTAACCTCTGAGCAACTCCTGGTGTGGCCCCATCACAACACAACACAAAACAAACATAAACACACCCTCACTTTTAGAAGGAAGGTGTTTAGTATTAGTAGCTAGAAACTCAGTTCCCATCGATCTTTCTCTCAGGGTAGTTCTAGCCAGGAAAAAAATACTCACCATTAGGATGACAAAGGCTAACAGAACCTTTAAATTTTCCTATTGAACCCCTGAAACTTCCTTCCAATATAAGTTGCTATAAACAACCTTATCCAACTCTGTGCGATGAACCACTCTTTGAAGAGGGTGTGTCTGCATACGTTCGAAGTGATTATTTTTTTCTCTTTGCTAATCTTTCTGTTGTTGAATAATTTGAATGACCTCGACAAAAGCTGGTCCTCAAAGTTTTCTCCAAATGTCTCAGCTGGAAAAGAATAGACTAGAATTTTAACCTACAGATTTAGGAGCAAAGAAATAAGGAATAGACATTTAATGTTGAAGATGAGGGACAGGTAGGAGGAAAGGCAGTGAGAACACACATCTTAAATCCTACTGATATTAGCAGGAAGTCTGGTCTGTTATATTGACTGGACCACCACAATTTAAAGCAAGAAGACTAAATAAAACAGAAGAAACGACCTAATATTTTTCTTATAAGTCTGTTTAAAATTTAATTTACATTACTTGAAGTTTAAAATGCATCATCTTTATGATTCATCAGTCTAAGGAAAGCAGGTGGGAGGATATAAGATTATGTAATTTTCTACTATTACAAGGTGACATAAAATTGAAAGCAATAATAGAAGGGTAAGTGTGGTAAAAGAGGTAACTTGCTATAATATAAATTTAATTTTTTGAAAATAATCAGCCTGTCCATTAAAAAATGCAGAATAGACAGAAGGATTTGAAGTGGATATCAGGAGCGCACCTTTTTAATGTCTTGAGGATAAAAATATACAGTCTTGTTGAACGAATATCCAAGAGACAAGGACATTTTCTAAAGTTCAAACTCATTCAATCTCAACCGTGCTCTCTTTTATATTAAGGCCAAAAATGAATATTAACCATTTTTATTAACTATGACCCTCATTTTTTAAATACTAAAACCTCCTTCAGGAAAAAAAATGCTTTTAAATGTGGTAGTATTTATTTTTTAATCTATTCATGAAAGCTATACACATAATTTTATGCATACAAAATAAATTATGTAAATAAACTCATTATTTGTATTCATTAAGTTGCAAAATTATATTCTTAACCAATAGAAAAAGAGCTGTGCTATGTTATCCAATAGCCACAACAGTAATCATTAGCCCAGTCATAATGAAATAATTTCTAAAAAAGAGACTTAATTCATACCATAACTGATCAATGACATCATGAATGAAGATGGAGAGAATATTCTGAATCTCCATGAGAGTATCACTCCAAATTCTTGTCTTATTTGAATCCATATTCCTGAAGTTTTTGTCCTCTATCCTTCAGATTTATGTTTTCCTCATATCCATTTGGAATTTTTCCATAAACATATTTTTGTTTATTTGTTTGAGGGCCACACCCTGTAGTTCTCAGGGTTTACTCATGTATGGGGATGATTCGTTGCAGTGCCTAAGGACCATGTGTACTATGGATTAAATCTGAGCCCCTTGCCTACATCATTTACATATTTTTTTAAAAACATTTGCTAGTGAAAGAAACACCATGAGGTACAGGTACTGGATCATTGTATAACTGAAACCCAAGCACAAAAATTTGTAAGTCTACAACTGTACCTCATGGTGTTTCACTAATGAAAATTAAAAAAAATCTGAGCCCCTTGCCTACAGAATATGAACTATTGTCCATTAATTTGGTTCCATAAATACTTCGTCGATTGCCTCAAGCAGGCCCCAGTAACATCTCCTTCGTCCTAGCCCTGAGATTTTTTTTAAAAAGTGCCATATTCAAGGCTCTTTCAGAGTTAGGAGGAGACCCATCATTGTTACTGATATTTGGCATATTGGGTACGCCACGGGGAGTTTGCCAGACTCTGCTGCGTGGGCAAGTTACATTCGGATACTTACAAATTTTAAAGATATTTTATTTTTTTCAAATATCAAATATTGAAGCAAAAATGTAGACAGTATAAAATATTTTTAAAATAGTCTAGTTCCCTCCCGTTGATCGTCGATTTGCTCGAGCAGGCCCAGTAACGTCTCCATTGGAGACTTTGTTGTTACTGTGTCTGGCATATCCAATACTCTCGGTAGCTTGCCGGGCTCTCCGAGAGGGGCGGAGGAATCGAACTCGGGTCGGCCATGTTGGCCGCTTGTAAGGCAAACGCACTACCGCTGTGCTATTGATGGAAGTGGGTTATTTTCAATAAGTATTGTAATTGCTAAAATATATGAAACTTATAGTCCCTTCTAAACTGCATACCCTGGAGCAATGACTATTAATCCAATGTAAATTCAAGGAGGGAAAACTAGGATGGTGGGGAGGTAGGATTTAAAGAGGAAATCAGGAGAGAATGAGGGTTTTCATAGGCAGAAGAATAGAAGTAGAACAGAACAGAGACAAAAAGGATCTTCACTTAAGATCCCCACATTGTTGGAATGAACCATTTAATCTTCTTTGTAGAAGGAAATAAGACTATTCTACTCTATTAAACTTCTCAACAATAATTTTTGTTCATTTATTACAATCAATGTAATAAAGTGTAATCAACACCTCATTTTACCATAAGCCCTACATAATAACAGTAAGTCCTATGTACTAAATTTCTTTAGTCAATAAAAAAAAATATCATCTTTATGTGATTGCATGTTCTAACTCAAGAGAAGAGCTTGCACTTTTGAATACTTTTTAAAATTGCTTCTAATTATGTCACTAATTTTCCATATAACTTTAAAGATCTTCAGTCATTTCATCCATAAAATGAAAGCACTGCATGATGTAATGTCAAAGTTCCCTCTCTGCCCATAAATTCTAGAACTCTGTTATACACCTTTCCAAATATTAAGACAAGCCATTGCAACTTTTTGAAATTCTTCTATGAAGTGTTGAGTGATAGGTTAAGAGATAATACTTACATTTTGGCCCACTTATCCAGTTCTTCTTCCAGGTATGTTTTAACCATTTTTGGTTGAAGGCCAAGAGAATTTCCCAGGAAATAAATGGCATTTTCATCCTTATTCACTAAAGATAAATCAACTGAAACAGAAGAAAATATAAAAATGCTTTTATTTGATTAATATTTCTTTCAAGTGGAGTTGTGAGTCCAGTACAAATAATTAGCATTAATAACTCAAAGAAGGATAATAAATGATTTATATTTTCTCCCAAGATTAACATCAGGTTGTCTTAAAAATTGTTTTGTACATTAATATTTTAAAATTTAGCTTAATATAGAGAAATCTAAAGGCTGTAGTAAGAATATGAAAGGAACATCAGGACGGGCTGGAGTGAGTACAGTGGGTAGGACACTTGCTTGCATGTGGCTGACCTGGAGGTTCGATCCTGAGCACAGAGCCAAGAATAAACCCCGAGCATAACAGGTGTGCCCCTCACCCCCGTTTCCAGAAGGAACAAGGAACACTGAGTTCAAATCTATCCCTGTGACAAAACCCAGATTAATTTTTAGCTATTCAGAGAGCTCCAGATAAAGATAATGTGAAAGATTCAACCCAAACCATCTCCCTAAAGCTATTTGAGGATTTTTTCTACTTTGGAGAGGTCAGTGTCTCCTTCACATGTGATTCTAACTTCTCTCTCCTCACATTTCTCTAAGAAAATTTCTTTAAATAAAACTATTTAACTTCATGGAAAAATAAAATTAAAAAGTAGTTTAATCCTATCAAGGCTTTTGTTGGAACCTCACACTTTAATGTCTTCCATGACAACATTTTAATTAGCAACTGCCCCCAGTCTAAAATAGTCAATGGCAATAGTTTAAAACTAAAAACAGAATGCTTAAAGGGAGGCTATCAACCTGTAGAGTTATAATGTTTTCAAAGTTTCACCATATGCATTCAGAACTTAACATTATAAATTGGTTCATGAAAACTTCAACTTTAAGCAAAACAATATAAAATGTAATTTATTTTGCCACAGGCTAATTAATGTAAGAGGCAAGTTCCTATTGCTGACATGTGTCTGCTTACATAACACCTCAAAAAATTAGGCCCGCTCCTCTCTGGAAAGAAAGATGGCGGCCGCATGGGAGCCTTGTGGAAAGCAGGTTTGAGCCGGGCTCGGGGGAGCGGCGGGGACCTCATGGGAAGGGGGGCTTTGTGGGCCGTCCCCCACGCCCCACCGAGGTCGCCAGCTGCCCCCCACCCCGAGCGGCTCTCCGGCACGGCCACGGCCCCGGAGGCACAAGGACTTAGCACAGAGAACCAGCCGCTTGGAGCAGAAAAGCAAATGGACTTGTGTTGAACCGCGCCACCAAGCCTGCCCGGAGGGGGAAGGGCGCTGACCGGCCCGCCCGCTCCTCTCTGGAAAGAAAGATGGCGGCCGCACGGGAGCCTTGTGGAAAGCAGGTTTGAGCCGGGCTCGGGGGAGCGGCGGGGACCTCATGGGAAGGGGGGCTTTGTGGGCCGTCCCCCACGCCCCACCGAGGTCGCCAGCTGCCCCCCACGAGCGGCTCTCCGGCACGGCCACGACTCCAGGGCACAGAAACCAATCTCTTAACTAGCTAACTTTTAATAGAAATTCTTCCAGGGTCAATAAGTAAAATAGCAGAAATTCAAAACCGCGCGGACACGATAGCATTTTATTCTTAAACCAAGTTGTAGAAAGCAAATCATTTCACAACGCTGTTTCAGCATGTCTGATTGTGGGGGGTGGGTCGTAAACTCTAAACAATAATTGTGCATCTTCTATCGAAATAATCTATCTAGTCAAAGTAGATAGAGTATTAACTAGAACTCATCTGCCTCACAAGAATTGGGAGGGGTGGGAGGTGGGGGTCTATTGGGGTTCGGGGTTAAAAATGAGTATTGGTAAAGGGAAATGTGTTCGGTATCTACATGACTGAGACCTAAACCCGAAAACTCTGTAACTTTTCCCACAGTGATTCAATAAATAAATTATTAAAAAAAAAATTAAAGACCCATTTACATAAACATTTACTTCTAGGGCAAGAGCAAGCTTAAAGGACTGAAGCACCTGCTTTATCCTACATGCTGTAGCCTCAGGTTCTGTCCCTGATACAAGAGGGTCCCCCAAGCACTGCCAGGGCCAACCCCAGTATTTATAGAAAGAAGTTCCACAGCCTTGCTGAGAGAGGCAACCGAAAAAATATAACACACAAAAGGGCCAATTTTACTGACTTCTTTCCCAAACCATTTTGTAAATTCAAGGTCAGAGGTAGCTAGAGCCTTATCCCAACATGCCAGAACTCAAGCTGATAACCAGGCATGAAAGGGAGTCCTTCCATTGCGGGGTGTACTCAAACATCTATGTTCACTCAGACTAGGATCCTTGACACATACCCATGGAACAAGGAGGTTTATGATGTAGGAAAAATACAGAGAAACCAGAAAAAAAATCCATACAGACATGTGAAGAACGGGAAAGTATCTAGAGAAGCCATGAATTGATTTTTTTTTTGATAACCAAGCATAAACTCTTGGTTATCAGCTTGAGCTCTGATTTAATATATGTATTTGAATACCATATATATTGAAATTTGAGCCATATAGCAATAATTAAAAACCTTGGACTTTAAAATAAAATCATTAAATATTTTTCTCTAAGTCAACAAAAAGCTGTTAAAGAATTCAATTTAAAAGTGTGAATAATATTTATATCCCTTCTATTGGATTTGTCTTAAGAGTTGCCTATGAAAGAGGCTGAAAAACCTATAAAAAGTCTATAAAATAAAGTAAGTAAAGTAAGTAAAGGCCCTCCCGTTGATCATCGATTTGCTCGAGGGGGCCCAGTAATGTCTCCATTGGAGACTTTGTTGTTACTGTGTCTGGCATATCGAATACGTCATGGGGAGCTTGCCAGGCTCTCCCAGAGGGGCGGAGGAATCGAACTCGGGTGAACCATGTTGGCCGCTTGTAAGGCGAATGCCCTACCGCTGTGCTATCACTCCAGCCCATGAGCCTCCTGTTGCCAGGGGGCGGAGCCTCCTGTTGCCAGGGGGCAGGGCGGGGTGGCCGGGGCTAGGGGACAGAGGGAATTCGGAACCGCCTCCGGGCTGAGGTCTCTGTCCAGGGCCCGCAGCTACCTGTGGCAGCACGTGGGGGAGCAGAAATTTCCTCCACGGCCCTGCATCCCACACCAGGAACTGGCCACAAGGGGCTCCCCTTTCTGATGGGGCTCTAGAGTTCCGTTTATCTGTCTCCCGTTTTGTACCAGCCTGCAGCTTCTGCCATGGGGCACGGGCGGCTGCTGACCGGAGTGGCAGCAGAACGGTCCGCTGTGTTCGTGAGCTGCACCCGGGGCACAGAGGCTTGAGGCTGCCAGGAGGGACAAGGTGGCAGGAGCCCTCGGGTCACTCAGGAGGAGCATGGTGTCCGCACATCTCGTCCAGTCCATGCGGGACCAGAGCAATGGTCTAGCAGGGGAGGGCGCTGGCCTGGCCTGCAGCCCACCCGGGCTCCATCCCCAGCATCCCGTATGGTCCCCAGAGCCCACCAGGAGTGATCCTTGAGCACAGAGCCAGGAGTGTGTCCCAAGAGAAAAGAGCGAAGAAAGAGAAGCGGGTGCCCATGGGCCTTCAGTGGCAGGTACCCCGCCCACTGACCCGGGATCCCGCAGCCAAGAGGGAAAGGCCTGAGTCACGGACCCCCCGGAGCCTGTTCTCCGCGGTTAGAAACCTAGGTCGTTCCTAGGTTGTGGTGGGCTTTTTAGTTGTTTAATTTGCAGTTCGGGGAAGGGTTTGCACCCAGCGGTGCTCAGGGGTTAATCCTAGCTTTGTATTCAGGAAGAATTACCCCTGATGGCACTCAGGGGACCATAAGGGATCGAACCCAGATCAACTGCAGGCAAGGCCAGCACCCCACCATTCCTCCAGCTCGGTTCCCGGGGTCTGACTTTGTAACACCAGGTGGATGACTCAGGTGGGGGGGGGGGGGCGGGGGCACGCTAGTTGCTAGGCGAGGTCCCGAGCTCAATTCCTCACCTGCCAGCTCCTCAGGGGGACCCAGGCAGGGCCAAGTACCCTGGCAGCCACTGGGCTGCGGGGCCGACCAAGCATAAAATAAAATCATTAAATATTTTAAATTTCTATTTGAAACTTAAAAATAATTTTCATGAATCAGCTTCCAATGACATTTCTAGTTCTCTGCCCCATTGTTTCATCTTATTCTTTTATTGCTGCTATTTCTGTAGGCAGGTATGGAGTTACCTTTCTTCAGGAGGTTATTTTTAAAGTCTGTTCAGTAGAAACAAAAAGCAGAACTGTAAACTAGATGATTTGTCGTATCTTATGTCAGTCAAAAATATGGTTCCCGGTTTCCTATCATTACATTTCTCTTACTTGATTGACATTTTAATTTAATGTCTCAGAGCACAGCAAATTACATAATGTGGATATGTTATATGTACTTTATACTATATTTAAAAAGTACTAGCAATGCATATTCTGTTAAGACCCAAAGAAAGAACAAGGTCAGCGCTCACCAAATCAGGCCCAGTGAATCTATATGGCATAAAAAACAATTAGGATTTCAAACTTAGGGAAACAAAATTTCTTTTGTACAAGGATAATAAGCAAGTTTATTATTAAAATCTTGTGTTCTTAACAGTTATAAACTACAATATTTGTTTCTCAAAATATAGTACCTTGGCACATTAAATAGTTTAAGCTGAAAGAATCCTAGAAACTGCATGTGCAATATTTTCTAACTTTTCTCTAAACTGGTGAAAAACATTCTTGAATGTCTTTTCTATTATCCTTCTTTCCAATCAATATACAAAATTTCCAATCAATTAGAACAAAATTCCTTGGGCCAAATCTCCTGTCATTAAGTGTTTCCTAACAAACTCCTAACCAAAGAGTTTCTTAAACAATAGGCATTTAATTTATTGTAGTGCAGTTTGGGAGAAAGAAGTTCCAAATCAAAATGTCAACAGTGTTTACTCCAGAATTGGCTCTTAGGGAAATTCTAGACTTCCTCACTGGACTTAATATCCATCTTCATATTCACAAGTGTTCTCTCTGCATAAGTATATCCAAAATCCCCTTTTTAATGTGCCAT